TGCCTTATCCCTTTCTTACCAGGAAAATAGCCTTCTAAATTCCCATTTAGAGCAACTGAGAACATAGGAGAGGTGATACAAGCCTTAATCCAATTGATAAAAGTGGGAGGAAAGGACAAAGCTTCTAATGCTGTGAAAATAAATTTCCAGCTTACAGAGTTAAAAGCCTTCATTAAATCAATCTTCAATGCACACCTAGGCTTCATGTTAGGCTTGTGATAATTTTTTACCAACTCTTGTGCAAGCAGTATAGTCTCCACCATTAGCCTTGCTTCAACAAAAGCACATTGGTTGGAGCTAATGAATAGAGGTAGGCACTCTTTCAATCTATTAGCAATAATCTTTGTGATACATTTGTAAATCAGATTGCAGCAGGATATAGGCCTAAATTCAGTCATCTTAGATGGGCAGGACACCTTAGGCACTAAAGAAATAATTGTAGAATTCACCTCTTTAAGGAGCTTCCCAGTTGAGAAGAATTCTTGTACTGCTCTTGTAACCAAGTCTCCAACAATGCTCCAAGCACTTTTGTAGAACTCAACAGTATACCCATCTGGTCCAGGGCTCTTGTTATTTGGGCTACTGAAAAGAACTAATTTGCATTCTTCTGCTGTAACTGGCTAAATTAGTGCTTCTCGAGTTGCTTCAGAAAGTTGGAAGTCAAAGAGAGCTTTCAACTTATCAAGATCCCCTCCAATGCAATAAGGATCCCCACTCCTTAGAAGAGCTTGGTAAAAACCAATAGCTTCATTTGCAATATCCTCATGCTCAGTGAGTATTTTATCATCCTCAGTATGCAATTCTTTTATCAGGTTCTTACTTTGTCGAACTTTCATTACTTTATGAAAGTAAGTAGTATTTTGGTCTCCTTCCTCTAGCTAGTGCACTCTAGATTTTTGTTTCAGAAAGGCTTCTTCAGCAAGTGATAACTCTGCCACCTTCCTAGCCTGTTCCTGTTCCACCAAAACCAAATCTTCATGAGGATTAGCTAACAAATCAATTTGGATAGCATGTAGCTTTGAAGTCTCTTGTTGAATCCTTCCTTTCAGGTCACTGTAACAATCCTTATTAAGCTGTGGTAGAGGGGCCTTAAGAGCCTTCAACTTTTTACAAAGCTGAAACATGTAGCATCCTGAAACTGTGACAGATGACCAAACCTCCTGGACAATGTTTAGAAACCTTTCATTCTTTGTCCAAAAATTGAAAAATTTGAAAGGTTTTCTGGTATTTTGGGTTGCCACTTCCATTATAGTTACAGACCCAGCACAATGGTCTGAGATGTCAGGGGGAAGAAACTCTGCTCTAGTTCTTGGAAAAGTGCTAAACCAAGTGCTGTTGACTAATAACCTGTCAAGCTTTTTAACAATGAGTCCCTCTATTCTCTTGTTCGACCATGTAAATTTAGGCCCAAAAGCAGGAAGATCAGAAAGTTCAGCTTCATTCAACCTGTCATTAAACAACATAGAATCTTTGGAGAAGCGCATGTTTTGGATCCAATCAGACCTCTCTTGCAGATATCTAACTTCATTAAAGTCACCTCCTAGAATCCAAGGCACTTCAGGCAGCACCCTGCTTAGAGCAACTAACTCATCCCATAATTGTCTCCTTTGATCAGGAGAATTATCAGCATACACAAAACTAGCAAACATGTACCTCTTAGTAATATTGTCAACCACATGACAGTGTATAGCCTGATGATTAGAACTAGGTATCCTTATAGTTACATGGGACTTCCAAAAAAGCCAAATTCTCCCTAGAGGAGCAGAATCATAATTGCAAAATCTACTCCACTCAAGCAAAAGATATCCAACAATCTTATCAAAATTTTGCTTCTGAACATGAGTTTCAATAAGACAAACTATGTCTGCATCATACTTCCTCAATGTTTGTCTCAGTGACTTATACTTTGTAGACTTATTTATCCCTCTTACATTCCAAAATATGAGTTTCATTTATGAGATAGAAGAAGGGATACCTCACTGGAGGGATTTGAAATTTTCTTGCAATTTCTCTGCCGAGGGGCCAAGGCTTTTGTAGCAGCTGCTACACCCAAAGAAGCCTCGAGAAGCCTGTCGAGGCTTCTTAAGGGATTTTGGAGACACTAAAGAAACCTGAAGAGGAGGAAAGGCCTGCTCGTCATTAATAGAGGCCAAAGCTTCAAAAGAATTCTGCTTCTCAATAGGTCCTTGCTCCATAAGAGATACAGTAGTCTCTCCCTGGGCTGTGAGTAGAGTTTCATTCTGCAAAAGTGGTTTGACAGGTTGGTTTTCTTTCTGCACTGGTAGTACTTCATGACAAGCAGGGAGTGCAGACTCCACATTTGGAACATCATTCACCTGCCTGCAAGACACATCTGGTTGTTTCCTTTTGTTCATCTCAGCAACTTTTACCCACTCTTTCTTATTAGGCTGCGGTTTGTCTTTCCTTGACTTGCAATTGTGGGCGGTATGTCCCCGTTTATTACAAGTACTGCAAGTGGTAGGCAACCAAGGATACTCAACTCGCACATCCACAGAGGGACAGCCTTCAATGTCAACTAGGATATTTTCCGGAAGATCCTGAGCCGCTGCAACTTCAATCTCAACACAGAGCTTGGCATAGTTCACACAAGTTCGCTCCTCTGTTGCTTTATCCAGAGCAAGAGGGACCCCAATTGCGCTAGCAATATAGGCCAGACCCTCGGCAGAAAAAACCTCCATAGGAACACCCCACAATTTCACCCAAATAGGAACGCTCTTAGGTTCTTGCTTAGCTTCTTTGTAATCTGGCTCCCACTTACGCATAATCAGTGTCTTGTGTGCGACATGCCAGGGGCCAGAATTTAGAACCCAGCCTCGAGTTCCAGAGTCAGGGATCTTGAATAAGAAAGATTTGGCACCCAGACTAGTAACCGAGACCGAACCTCGCCTTCCCCAGAAACGATTTGCCATGCTCAAGATACGCCCATAGTTGGGAACATCATCGTCTATAAAAGTACCTATCAAACAGTCCTCCCATAGCTTTATCCCCTCCTCTCGAACAGCACGAGGCAACTTTACCTTCAATTTTCCATTTTCAAGAACCAGAGGATGAAATGCTAGGGATTTTGTTTGCAATTATATGATGCTACAGGAGAAAGAGAACCCTGATCGGAAACATAAAAATTATCAATGTCGCTGTTCTTTTCTTGAGGTATGTGTTTCTCTTGGTAGGTTGCAACTTGTGAGTTCCGTTTCTGGTTTACTTAACTTACGAATGTGTTTGAATGTCTTTGCCATAATCTATTTTACAGATTTACAATGAGCAAATTGGAGATTTACTTGATCCAACTCAAAGGAACCTTGAGGTAAACCTTTTGTGCCATGCTTTATCTTCTGTTCTATCAATTGCTTCGCAAGATCTCCTTAAATTGTATGCATGGCATTAAAAGCTAGTGCACATTGTTTCAGATAAAGGATGATCCAAAAAGTGGATTGTACGTTGAGAATCTGAGTGAGGAATATGTGACTAGCTATGAGGATGTAACTCAAATTTTGATCAAGGTAACCAGCGAACCATTTCTTTCAGAATTGTCTGTACTTATAGTTTGCAAATTATGCTTAGAATGCATATGCATGTTTATCATGCAACGAAGATCCATAACTATATAATTTCCATTACACGAGTTTATCATAGTTTTTCCTCTATCTTTCATGGTAATAAGTTCAGTATATACCGTGCAGGGGCTCTCAAGCAGAAAAGTTGGAGCAACAAGTGTAAATTCTAAGAGCTCTCGGTCTCACATTGTATTTACTTTCATAATTGAATCATGGTCCAAGGTACCCCTTTATTTTATTTCTTATGGGCAGGTTTTCCATTGTTCTATTTCTTACGGCAGGTTTTCCATAGTTCTATGTCTTATGGCAGTTTTTTATTAACTTACGCAACAGGGAGAATCATCAAAATGTTTCAGCAGTTCTAAGACAAGCAGAATTACACTAGTTGATCTTGCTGGACTAGACAGAGATAAACTTGAAGATGCAGGTAGACAACATGTCCAAGAAGATAAAAATGTTAAGAAGTCCCTATCACAGCTTGGGTATGTACTGTTTTTCTTTCTTTGGTGTTATGTGTTATGCTCTTACCTTTACCTAACTTATGTAGGGCAAAAGTGTCTGTTATTATCACATTTGCTACTATTAGCAAGAATCTCTTATAAAGGTTAAGCCTTATTTAAAATTTATGCTTTGTTGCCTTTGTTTAGGCATGTAGTAAACAACCTTGCGAAAAGCAGTGAGCCTGAAAATTCTGGAGACACTCCATATGGTAGTTCGTGTTTAACCAGTTTACTGCGAGAATCACTTGGTGGCAATTCCAAACTCACTGTTATCTGCAACATTTCTCTGAATAGGTACTCCATTTTAATCACCTTTTTCTGTTTACATTAAGAAAATGGATACATGTAAGACAGGTGTAAGTATGGTTAGGGTAAATATTTGAGAAACAAACTTTATTGTCAATGGTATCTCAAACAGTGTTCATGTTGACTGCAGACACAGTGGGGAGATACTGAGCACTCTGAGATTTGGACAGCGAATTAAATCTGTAAGAAATGACCCAGTGATTAATGAGATATCAGAAGATGATGTTAATGACTTGAGTGATCAGATTGGTCAATTATAAAGGTAATGTAGCTCATTTTTGGGGAAATGTCCAATTTCATTTGGCAAACTAGTCACGACCTGGTGAGGATTGTTAAATGCATGTCATTTTGGTTGCAGGAAGAACTTATAAGAGCAAAGT